GTTGTAGCTTTGTTTCGCGACAGTTAACACGCTCGTAACATGTCGTCATCCTTCAGGCAAAAAACTCAATGGAAACGTGCCGCGCAGTCCTTAAATATGTCGAAGGGTCGAGAAAGATTTGTGGTCGCACTGGCTGATTGCATAGGAAGGAATCAAAGGGACAGAATCTCCCAATTGACGTACGGCCAGACAGCCGATTTTGAATGGACTCACTAATTGTAAGAGAAGATCGAGACAACGCGATTGTTTGAACACCGAATGATATCAAGTTATCGGTATTAAAGTTGACTGACAACTTTAAAAACATAATAATAATTCGGCAGGTGCTATAGTCGTGATTCAAATTAATATTTAAGGAAATAACTTTATGAAAACTAATTTTTGTAGCTCTATACTCACATATTCAATTTTATATTACATTGCAGCGAAATTGTATTTTATTCAAACTGGTTTCATTTAACTTGCATTTTTATAATAACACTGTATGTGTGTGAAGTTGATATTTCATTTTATGAAAACTCATAAATAATAATAAAAAATATTGGAAAAACACGTTACCTAACGTTACGATATCTAAATTGGAACCCTAAACTAATGACAAAATTAAATATCACAATAAGCGATCTAAACTCTTTAAAAAATGACAGACTGGTTATAAATATAAGAGAATATTAATAGAATAGCCCTCCGTTCGATAATAAAAAATATTGGAGAAACACGTGGACTTAACGTCAAGTTAAGATATGTAAATGCCCTAACAGCACACATATCCCAAAGACATTCAGAGAACATCACAAGGATGTCGAATGTCCTCCGGATATCCTTTGGATATCCTCCGAATACTTATCTTTCGAATATGTGTGCTGTTAGAGTAGGGACTCTAAACTAATGACAAAATTAATAATCGTAATTAGCGACTCAAACTTTCTAAAAAGTAATAAAACCTGGTTCAAAATATAAGAAAATATTAATAGAATAGCTCTCAATTCGATAATTGAGGCTTCTCATTTTATTTACAATAGTTCTAAAGTTTCTGAGACACTGAAAAATAAGCTATTGATTTTAAATAAATATCTATTTCAATAGTGCTATTAACACCATTTGTTTGAAACTAATAATATTGATTTGCCGTGAAAAAATACTTATTTGATAATAAGAAATCCTTTTTCAAAACAGATAAATATTTATTTGTTTCAAACAAATGATGTTATTGAAATACACATTTATTTAAAATTAATAGTTTTCTCAATGTAGTTTAAACAAATAGATCTGGTCATTAATGTTTTACACAGCATCTCACTTTGTCCAATGACATTTTTCTTATCAGTAATTAGAATTACAAAGATTTATAGTTCTATATGAGTTCTAAGAAGAGTTCTATCTTTTAGAAGGAAAGAATATTGATTAAGCTGAAATAAAGACAGACACCTACATATAGACATCGAGATGAGACACCGGTCAATTTAGTGTGTATTCTAAAGCAATTCTCATATAGTTTTTGACATGTACAATATCTTTTCAAACAGTTTTAATAATTCCAAAAACTACATGAAGTTTAAAAAAAAACAGAACTCTTGAAGATCGACTGACATCTCATCTTTAAATTTTAAAATAAGATACGTTTTTCAGATCAAAATAATTATTTAAAAAAATATCCAAGTGTTTTAATTATCAAAATTCTTTGGTAAGGCATTTTACATGCCAAAAACTAGAAGAAAACTGCTGTAGAATAAGCACTCTCAAAAGTCAACTTACGTCTCATCTTGATGTCTATATACAATAAGTGTCTGGTTGTTTTTATTTCAGCTTAATCAATATTCTTTTGCTTTTAAAAGACAAATCTCTTCTGAAAACTTACGTACAACTATAAATATTTTTAATTCTAATAATTACTGATAAGGAAAATTGGACAAAGTGAGACACTGCATAAAGTTGGCTTCTCAGTTTGCCCTAAGGCATTTTTGTTGCGTTAATGGCCAGAACTATTTGTTTGAACTATCAGGAACTCTTGTAAATAAAGTCAGAAATCTTAATTATTTATGAATTTCCATAAAATAAGACAGCAATTTCACACACTACTGTATGAACTATACAAATATTGTTTTATCATTTCATTCATATCTATACAGAAAAAAAATTTGTTCACTTGACTAAACCTTTCAACTAAATATTATTTTGTTAATTGAACATATAAAAATATTTAAATTTAATATAACATTAAATCTAACAAAACGTTATATATATTTGACTTAAATTCTAATATATGTTCAATTAACAAAATAGTAATTTAGTTGAAAGGTTTAATCAAGTTAACAATTTTATTTTTTTTTAGTGTAGTATTTTTAAGAATTTGTAAAGCGCCGATTTTATTTCCACAGCGCATCTCAAATATAAAAGTGAAGCAAAGTGCATGTCAAATTGTAATCACATTAATAACAATAATAATGCAACAATATCAAGTCATCATAAACAAGATAAAAACACATATATCACCCAGTATAATAAATTCGCAGATGCTGGTCGCTATTCAAAATAATATTTGAAGAAATAAATTAATAAAAAACGATATTTACCTGTATCCTCGCAGATGTTTTTTCTTATATTATATTGCAGCAAAATTTTTATTTAAACATTGGTTTCATTTAATTTGCATTTTCATAATAGTTTCATAATTGTTATATATACAAATATATGTTTTAATTTCATTAATATTTAATATTTTTTAAAGAGCTTGTAAAGCGCCGATTTTATTTCGATAGCACGTCTTAAATATAAAAGTGAAGCAAAGTGCATGTCAAATTCATTCCATTAAAAATTACAATAATGCAACGATATCAAGTCGTAAGCAAAATAAAAACACATATAATGCACAGTATAATAATTTGAGACAGATGCTATAGTCGCGATTCAAAATAATATTTAGGAAAATAATTTTGTTTTGTGAAAATATTAATTATGCAAGTATCACGTTTTATAATTTTATTATTTAATATATTTTTAAAGAAAAATTTAAAGAAAAAGTGTTGATTTTATTTCAACAGCATATCTCAAATATAAAAGTGAAGTAAAGTGCAGTCAAATTGTAACGAGCTTAATAACTATAATAATGCAAAGATATCGAGTTATTGTAAACAAGATAAAAACACAAATCGCCCTATATCTGCAATATAATAATTCGACAGATGCTGTAGTCGTGACTCAAAATAATACATAATTAAAAAAATAATTTTTTGAAAAATAAGGTTTATAGCTCCCTCCTCACATATTCTTTTTTATATTACATTGCAGCAAAATTTGTATTTTATTCAAACACTGATTTCATTTAATTTGCATTTTCATAATATTTTATTTTAACAGCATTTTCATAATATTTTATTTTCTCAAATGTAAAAGTGAAGCAAAGTGCATGTCAAATTGTAATCATATTAATAACGATAACAATGCAACGATACCGAATCATCGTAAACAAGATAAATAAACAGTTTATTATGTCAATATGTAATAAATGTATTTACTCACCGGCCGATGATATCGCCGGTTGCATTCGATGCACGATGCATCTCGTACGCCTCCCCTTTTCCTCGTTCCTCCACCACTCGATTACTTCATTGTCCAGACACTCCATCGCACGTGCTAATTGTCGATTATCTTGGTCACCTCTCGCACGGCATCCTCGACGCTTTTTCACCCAGGATGTAAACAGTGAAAATAACACGATCGCGCGTCCCGGATTTCCGTTTCACACGTCGGCATTTATTGACACTATATCAACACTCGCGGTGCAATCGAAACGAGAATAATTAGAGATCGTTCGTTAGTTTATTCAACACCTCCGAATACAGTCATCGCGCATTCGCGACATAACCAATTCACGTCCCTTCGCGCTGCATTCCCCGAATTGCACCTGTCACACGTATACTTGCCTTAATTGACAGGATATATATCGACGTATACTCGTCACCTGAGACGACGTTTTTCGTGCTTGCGATACGTGCAAACCGAGCGAGGACACGCACGGTTCCCGGATTTTGTTAGGTTATGTTCGAAAAGCTCGGATGCAGCTCGGCGATGACGCTTACCACAGCTTTCTGAAATGTACAGATCACTTTAATCGACATGAAGATTCGTTCGAAACATTTGCGTTCATTATTCACACTTCCGGAACTGTCGTTCGTACAACGAAATTCGCGAATGTCAGAAAAAGGCGCGAAACGCAACAATGTCTTCCTCGCGGAGCACAGTGAAGTGAGCTTCTTATCGAGACGCTCCTGTCACGTCACGACTACGTCACACGGTACACAGTGTGCCAATTATCGATGCATGCAAAATTAATAATTACACTAAAATATCACTGATTGTAAGATGGGCGTGTCAATCGCGTTAAAGATCCATCACGATATCAGCTGATAATAATTCTTATTGTTAATAAGATTTCGAGCTCGACAGTGCAACAATAACAAGGCTAGGTACGCTTACTTGACTATCAAGTACACCGAATTCGCTTCTTTTTTGTAGTCAGTGATCCACGATCTTGATTTTGCTCGCTCCATGATGTCTGCTTCGGGATAAAAACTCTTCTCGTACCGTATTAAGAGAATTTCTCGCACGCAGGATCTCGCGGACACGATCGATAAAACGTCGATGAGCCATGAGCTTTCGCGAGAGACGGAGTGGGCAATGGACCCCGTTCGCGGAGTAATACATGGCGTCTCCTTGCTCCCTTACGTCACGCCGCGTCATTTGACGTCACGCACTACACTGCTCAAATAGCATAATTATTTAAAAATAAAAAAATTATACTTACGTTATTATATAAACGTTTGTCGTGATCGTGTCAATCGTACTAAGACAGAATATTATATCGATCGATAATCATTTTTATCGAGCTATTAGGCTCCAAAATACGACAATAATAATAATTTAGATTGTCTAATTGAACCGCGTTGTCCTACTTTGCCACCTTCTTGACGGTTCTTCCTCATCGCTCCTTCGTTTCCTGTGGTGGCTTCGCCGAACAAGGACAGGTGCTGTTTCGAGGTGAGCTTTACGAAGATTTTTCGCGTTCCTCGCGTCTTAAGAGGTCCTGCGGATGCGTACTCTGCGCACGAGTATTGCGAGTTATGTCAGAGATCTCGCGGTCGAGCGGCCGGAGTCGCGGAGTCGCGATCCATCGCGTCGTTCAATATTCGCGACATTTTTTTCTTCCGCGCCATCTTGATAAATAGTACATTGGATAATTTTTCGAGACATGTACGTCGATTTCGCGCACTTTACGTGGCCGATGATGAATTTCGTGAGCGAAACGAATGTCTACTCGATCGTGTTGGAGTATTTAAGTACCGTTCGAATCGCAGATCGTGCATGAATAATTAATATTCGCGAATTATCTCTCTCTCTTATTCCGCTTTCTTTATTCTTTTTTTTTTTTATTCCGTGCCGCTTATTTAAAGATATATGCAACGCGTTACATTCTCTGTCCATTTCTGCTCGTCCAAAAAAGATCGGGAATGCCGAATTGAGTAACGGGTGATCCGTTAATTAGGATCGCGATTGATGCATTCATTTTTTTTTTTTTTTTCCATTCTCTTGCGCCACATTTTTACGAGTCTGCAACAAATCCGATGCGAAAATCGGAGTCTCGAATCGAATACGAAAAGATAAATGCGCGCCGTTTTAATTGACCTATAATTACATGAGTGACTAATTACAGAATCGGAGCAGTGATTGTCATGATGAGAAAATCAGAAATTTGGTGGAGTCATCAGAGGAATTAGAGGAATAGTATAATATATTTACGTGAGTGGTACTAATTATGGGATCAGAGCAATGTCAATAATGATCAGAAATTTGGAAGTCGTCGAAGGAATTACGTTGTGAGTATAAATTTAATAATTGCAGTTGTGAATTTTTGTGTCGATTTTTCATGTATTTTTGCGATAACGCAGTGCTATTGTATGATTTATATTATTGCAATCTGAATTGAATATTTGATTTTACTGACATTTCAATGGCATTGTACTGATATAAGATGCATATATTAATAATCTATGTCTTCAACTTAAGCGTTTATTAACATTTTATAAAATAATATCTAATAATATGAATAATTATCTTAGTACGTTATAAATAATATATACAAAATATTTAAGAGTCTATTTTCTACATACTTTCGACGTTTAGAACATTTTATTAAATAACATCTAACAATATGAATAATTGTTTTGGTACATTTTAAATAAATATGTATATTTAACAGTCAGTATTTTCAATTTATATTGCTATCTGAATTAAATAACATTTGATTTTACACTCTTACTGCTCATTGGCATTGTATTCAGGTAATATGTATATTGAATTTAACAATCTATATTTCTTCATTGGCATTTATAACATTTTATTAAATAATATCTAATAATATGAATAATTGTTTTGGTACATTATAAATAAATATGTATATTTAACAGTCAGTAATGTCAGTATTTTCAATTCATATTGCTATCTGAATTAAATAACATTTGATTTTACATACTGTTTATTGGCATTGTACTGATATAATATGTATATGAAATTTAACAATCAATTTTTTGACATCGGCATTTATAACATTTTATTAAATAATATCTAATAATATGAATAATTGTCTTGGTACATTAGAAATATACATATTTAGCAATCTATATTTTTTATTTATACTGCTATCTGAATTGAATAAGATTTGATTTTATATACTGTTTTGGTAATGTATTGATATAATATATATATTTAATAATTTATATTTTTGATAGAGGCATTTATAATATATAATGTGAATAATTATCTTGAATACATTAAAAATAATATATGTATTTAGCAGTTTATATTTTCTACTGCTATCATACTGCTATCTGAATTGAATAACATTTGATTTTACATACTGTTGACATAGTACTAATGTAATATGTATATTGAACAATTTATATTTATATACGACATACACTGTAAAAAAATATGTAATAATATTACATAAAAATAGGTAACATTACATAAATAATAAGTGTAAAATTACACGATAAATGATGAAAATGTATAACTTTTCATTATTTATCGTATGCTTTTACATTTATTATTTATGTAATGTTACCTATTTTTATGTAATATTATTACATATTTTTTACAGTGTAGGCGTTTATGACATTTCATTAAATAATATCTAATAATATAAATAATTATCTTGGCACATTATTATTGGATAATCAGTATTTTTAAAATGAAGGATCTCGCGTTCTTGACTAATTTCCATCAAGATAATCTTTCTAACTGAGATGATCTATATCAATGATGTCGATCGCGTCCCTCGTTCCTCACCTTTTAACGTCACTTTAACGCGTCGCGATACCGATCTGCCTGCTGGCCATAATACTCTCCTCGACGACGATGACGGCGGCAGCGACTTCGATCGACTGCTCGCGGTTTTGTCGGAAAAGAGTTTTCGAAAAACCGACCTGCCGATCCTCGTCGAGTCATCACGCTAATCCTTATTTAACCCGGAGTTTATCGGTTGAATCGAAAGAAGCGGACGGGATTAACTTAACGCGCGCCAACACAATGGTTCGCACGAGGGGACAACCACTTAACACCGGGGTTCGCCTCCGATTCTAGCCGCTCCGCTGTCTTCTATTTTGATGCCAAGAATGATAGAGCCGTGATCCCGCGAATGAGAGTTGTCAGTGCTTTTGTACTTTGCTTTTGGACGCGCGCGCCGCTCTCTCGGCAGACAGAGTTTTTTTGTAATGGAAATCGAGTGAGGAATTCGGAGTTGATTTACAACATTAAAGAAAGAGGGAAAGGGAAGCCTCTTCGATCGGTTATCGACACTCGAGATGCGATTTAATCCGCGGAAATAGCATCGGAACTGAATTAAAACGTCAGTCGATCGATTTATACGAACTTGGCACTCAAGTTTTAATAAACTGAGTTTTCGATATAGAAAATGATAATATATCGTTTGCAGTTATTTGCACAAATAATAATTTTATTTGTAGTTAAAGGCATAAAAAATGTATTTTGGAAAAATAATTGTTATCTGATTTTGAGATAAAAAAATATCGCTGATACATAATTCTCATTCAAATTCTGATTGTTTGTATTTTCCCTTTATTTATTTAATTGTATTGTTTAAAAGTTAATGATTCTGTATCAATATCATGTATCAGTTTTTTTTATTTAAAAGTTAAACAAGTTTTTCAAAATAATTTTTTTATGGCTTGAACTACAAACAAAATTATTATTACTACAAAAAACTACAAATAAAATATCATTATTTTCTGTATTCAAAAAACTCAGTTTATTAAAAATTGGGTATTAAATTCATATATATGTGATCGTTACCACGATGTCATTCAATCTCGCCTTACTTTTTTACGAAATTTTTTACGACACATATATAGACATATTTAAATAAGATCTGTGTAAGAAATTTTATATTAAATATTTTTTACAGAAGTGTGAATATTAATGTAAGAAATTTTATATAAAATGCACACTCTCCTTACAAGTGTGAACATTATTAATGAATAAAACATCTCTTTGTGCGATTTTATCTCTGTATGATTATATCTATAATACATTTAAACACACATTCTGAAAGGATTTGCCATGGAAACTTTATAAAAAGATATTTCCGGAGATATTAATCTTCTTTTAATTGCTGGTAATTCTAGAGAAAGATAGGTACTCTGTTGTAACAGAGAAATGAATGAATTATTAGAGTATTCTTTTTTATATTTTTTTCATTTTTTTAAATATTATTTCGGGAGGAGATAATATAATTTTTTCAGTGTTAACAAACAAGATAAGCACAAACGGCTACAATTATAATAAGATAATTAATAAAATAAATTTACAATTTGCCTCATTATAAATATGCTTTTTTTCTTAACTTATCTTTTTTCTTAACTTTCTTAACTCATCAATAATCTGATGAAACATTTTATTGAATGTTTCAATGACATTTTTGAATCAAAATGGAGCAAATCTAACATGATACATAAATCTGCAATGAATAGTTGATTTCCATTTCCTGATTTCTCGTAGACTGGAAAGATTGGCGTGAATGCGATTAGCGTCAATAATTAACCATCAATTCAGTTCTAATTAAACGACGCGCTTTCCACACGCACTTCCGGGAGTATAGTGATACAAATCGATCAGCCGTAGCCGTTACATGTGTGAAGCGCATAACTTATAATTTCAAACGTGGGACGTTTAATGAGAAATTTGCATGACATTACGATTGAACCCCTCTGCGACGGATTAATGCGCGCAACTTTCGGCATAATAGCGCGACAATGAGCGCCCGGAACCCGATTCTCTGTAACCGGTCGTAAAAAATCGCGACCACTTATGTCTATGCTAATTTTATTTCTCAGCGAGACTAATCGCACCACTAAATCAAAACGCAGGCGCGCAGAAATATAAGTCGCAGAATAATTGCAACGCGAGAATCAGTAAAATTGAACATGTTGACGTGGACAAATTTTTGTTCTTTATATACAGAATATAAAAAAGACTAAGAAAAAACTTATGAATTTAAAAAATGTAAAATAATTATATTCGGCCTTCTGAATTAGCATATCGGATATGAATTAGAAAATATTTCTCTTCCCATTATATCAGTTCTAAGTTCTAAGAGATATATGTTTGCTTCATTTTTAGATTAAATGAAATCATATGTGAAAAGTTTATTCATTTTCTTATAGTTTAAACAAATATTTGTAATCATAAAAAACTGTTTAGCCAGAAGCTTTTTGTTTGATAAAACTAAAATTATTTAGACTAGAATTATTGAAAATAAATATGTATGTATATAGCATTCTTAATAATTTATAATTTTCTATGAAATAATACATATACTTTTATATGCACAATATAAAGTCACTATTCGATTTCGTCGAAAAGAGAAAAATTTACGATGCATTTTTTTGTGCATGAATATGGATAGAAGCATTTTACTTATATTATAATGCAGCCTTAGTCAGACGAATATGGTTTTAATTGGAGCGCGAGGTGCGACAGAATTAATTTTACAGAGTCGCGAAATTCAAGTGGCGCGCGTATTGGCGATTAATTTCAATTATGAGTTTTATATGCGAAATAACGCTACTTACTGAATAAAAAATTGAATTTTTTAACATTTTTCTGATTTCAATGGATTATCGATTAATTACATAATGCGTATTTTATTTGAAGCGGTTACGCTTGAACGCGAGTGCATGCATGTGCAGTTTATTGATGGAAGGCGTGTACATCGAATTTAATCGATATATACCCACGTCCACTAGCTATCAGTTACCATTTAATATTTTTATTCTAAATGACAACCTTCAAAAATATGCAATATTTAAAAATGGCTACTCAAATTTATAGATAAATATTCATGATCAATGCTCTTCATATATATTTTTTCACATGGAAACTCATTAATAACTATCAAGAGAAAATGCACGTTGTGCATTTGCGATTATTATTTTTATCAATTACGCTCTTATTAAAAATCACATTTTATTAAAAGGTTTCTTGTTATGCAGTCACACTTAGCGATAAGATGTATATAAATAATACTATAATTATTTTTACAATATAAAGGATAAAATCAAACAAAATCTATATAAATCAATCTTCAATTTTTGATTCGAGGAAATTTTTTATTGCATTTTGAATTAATTACACGTTCCAACAAGTCAAATACATAGTATAAAAAACTCTCTCTTGTGGCTTTGTATATATTGTTACATTAAAATATTCATACATCTAAGCTAAGTAGGGAATCAATTCTTGTTTCAAAGTCATTCTGCGTGTCCTGTTTGCATTGATGCAAATAGTTCCCTTTGAAAGA